TCATCTTCCGTATTTTTTTCATACATTATATGTTTCATCTCTAGATGAAAGTGTGTCTTTTCTTTCCTTTGACTTCTCTGCTTGTATTCTGCTTGTATTCTTAAGCACATGGAGTACATTTATAATAGCTGTTTTAATATTCTTGTCTCTTAATTCTATCATCTGTGCATTTTTGGTTTTGTTTCTATTGATTTTTCTTCTACTTGTGGGAGGTATTTTCCTGCTTATTTGCATGCCTGGTGATTTTGACTGGAGGCTATACAGTCAATTTTTTTTTTTTTTTTTGGTTAATGTTATTTTTTGGGGTGCTGAACTTTATTGTTCCTTTAAGTCTTTTTGGTCTTTGTTCTGTGATGCAGTTAAGTTACTTGGAATCAGTTGATCTTTCTGAGTTTCGTTTTTAAGCACATTTATGGCAAAAAAAAAAAAAAAAAAGCCTTTTCCTAAAATGACTCTGACCTAGGAGGTCTCTATCCTGCGACCGACTGAAGAGAACACAAACCATTCCTGTACTCAACAATCCAAGAATTGTTCTGCCTGCCACTTTCTGGTGATCTCCCCTTGGCCTCAGTAGTTTCTTCAAATGCATGCTCAAATCAGTAAGCAGCCAAAGACTAGGAGGTTTCTTCTGCAGACCTCTGGAGTTCTTCCTCTGTGTATCTTACTACTCTCCAGTATTTTGCTCAGCAAATTCCAGACATCTTGGCTTCCCCAGGCTTCAATTTCTGTTTCTTCAATTTAGTAAGAATGCTATGATTTATTGGGCTTCCCTTCCCTGCACTGTGGTTTGGCAACCATGAGCTAGGGCATTTTCAGAGCCTACTTTGTTTATTTTCTCCTCTCAGGGATCACTGCCTGTCCTATGCAGTCTGTTGTCCAATGTCTGCAAATCAACATTTCTTATGTATATATTTTTTCTGGTTCTATTGTTGTTTAAAGCAAGTCAGCTGGTCTCCATCACTATCATGGCCTGAGTTTAAAGTTCCCACAGCATTTTGCTGTCAATTCTCATATAGTACTTTTATTATTATTTTTGAATCCCTAATTACTCTCATTAGATTGTAAACTCTTTGAGACTAGGAACTAAATTTTGTTTATGAATAGTATCCTTTCTATCATAGACACTAGAGAAGTCAAATAAAGAAATGTGCAGACCAACGTTAGAAAAAGAAATGAGATACGAAGGTGCCACTAGGGCTGAGTCTAAGAACACTGCCTCACTAAGAACCGTGTTTATCACGCCATGACCTCCTACTGTTCAGATTCTCTGGCAGGACCACAACTGCCATAAACCTCATCAATGAGAGCCCAGTGCCACTCTGACAACCCAGGTTCTTCAACACTGGCCAATTCCCATCAGGCCTGCACACCAAAGAGTTAAGAACTGGCTTTAATCAGGCAGCATTAATCCTCTGACTTTAGCTTCATTATTTACAATGAATACCTTGGTTCTAAAACTCTTATCTGGCCAGGTGCGATGGTTATGCCTATAATCCCAGCACTTTGGGAGGCTAAGGCAGGGGAATCACTTGAGACTAGGAGTTCCAGACTAGCCTACAAAAAAATGTTTTTTTTAATTTTAAAAATTAGCCTGACATGGCTGGCACATGCCTGTAGTCCCAGCTACTCAGGAGACTGAGGTGGTAGGACTGCTTGAGCCCAAGAGGTCAAGGCTGCAGTGAGCTATGACCACACTATTGCAGTCCAGCCTGGGAAACAGAGCGACACCCTGTCTCAAAACAAACCATACAAAAAACCTCTCTTATCTAAGAGGAGAAAACAGCATTCCCAAAAGAGGACTGACTTTAGAGTTAGAAGGAATCTGAATCCCAGATGTGCTACTTACTTGCTATGCAACCTTGGATGTGTTGCTTGACCAATCTGGGCTTTTGTTTCTTTATAAAAATGGGGATAATATGTAATACCTTCTGTATATAAAGAGAATCTAGCACTTGATTAACACTTAATAAATGGTAGCAAGTGTTCTAAGGTTAATTAGAATCCTCCACACAAGCACAGAATTCAGGTAAAATGTCTGATTACTAATCTGGGAAAAACATTAGTGGCCACCTGCTAATATTACTCCCAGAGGAGAACATTTACTTCAAGGCCAACCAGCATGCAAATGTGTACTGGGCAGGACACTTATGTCTAATAATTATAAACCAAAGGCTGAGGAATGCCAAACAATTTATTTTCTGGCTTCCTGGCTATCTCTTCTAGAGATACATTATCACAGTCTCCACAAATGCTTCTGACACAGAGACCCACATCAAGTAGAGGTGCTAAAAAATAATGATGGGTAGAGGGTCACCTGTGTTAGCAGAAAGGCAAGACTGAAGGCATGTTTGGTAAGGAAAAGTGAGGACAAAGGAACACAAAATGCAAACAGAAAATGAGTACTCTCCAAACTAACACAAGATGCTACAGAATTTTTCAAACTGCTAGGTCATTTTCTTTATATGTACTTATTAGAACTTTTACAAATGTAGCCTAAACCTTTGAAAAACTTGAGATTAAAAAAAAGTCATCAAAATATTTTAAAGAGTAAATGCAAAAGGTTTAAAGAAAGTTTAAAGAACAAATACTATTTATCTGAAAGAAGAGAAAATTCAGGCATAGCTGGAAGTCTTTGCAAGCATAGAAAGGATTATACAAAAAAGGTGACCATATATTCTCTCTCTAGTGATGAATTAAATGAAAGACAATGGGCTCAAGGGTAGTGGAAGACGATAAATTTAATAGTAATGGTTATTAAATATAGAAATTATTTATTAAAATTAAGTAGTAGAAATATTAAAAACAGAAATAATTTCCCTGGAAGTCTTTTTTTTTTTTTTTTTTTTTTAATTGAGACAGAATTTTGCTCTTGTTGCTCAGGCTGGAAAGCAATGGCACCATCTGGGCTCACTGCAACCTCCACCTCCTGGGTTGTAGCCATTCTCCTGCCTCAGCCTCCCTAGTAGCTAGGATTACAGGCACCCGCCACCATGCCTGACTAATTTTTGTATTTTTAGTAGAGATGGGGTTTTACCATGTTGGCCAGGCTAGTCTCGAACTCCTGACCTTAGGTGATCTGCCCCCCTCAGCCTCCAAAGTGCTGGGATTACAGGCATGAGCCACCATGCCCAGCTAAGAAATCGTTACAAACAGACAATACATCTATGTTTTCTAAGTATAACAGAGGTAACATACTCCTGAGGCACATTCGTGGAGTGTCAAAGACACTCTGCTATGCTGTTTCTTATCCAGTGTCCACCAAGGGAACAATCAACAAAGGGTCCAAGCTGCTCTCTTAAAACGGATTATAATCAAATAGAGTGGTACTTGCTGGTCTGGAGGGGAGACCATACATCTGCCTTTACCATAGATTTTTGTCTTGTTATTTATAAGAAGAGATCATTTCAAGAAAGGGCCACATGTAGAGTCCTAGGGGATGGGTTACCTGGAGTGTGCAAATAAGTGGGAGGGGAGGAAACACATTAATTGGCCTGGCTTATGAAGGTGTGACAGGTTACAGGTGTGTTTACACGACTAGTGAAAAGTTTTTCTCTATGAGGCAATAAACAGAATGTTGGACTATTGCAGGTGAAAAAAAAAACAACGAATTCTCAAGGTGCCTCTGCAAAACAAAATCTGCTGAATATAAAACTACAACAATTTGAAGTCCATCACTGTCTTACCAGAAGACAAACAAAACTGAGCACCTGGTTCTACAAGTCTATGGTAGGGCAATAGCTGGGGAGCTCCTCCTCTACTTCGCATTAGCAGGGGCACCCATTTGCTTAGAGAATTAAAAATGGGCAAATTTACTCAGTTCTCTAGTTTCCATGATTCTATGAAAATCACTTTAAAGCTGTTCTAAGTATTGGGTAAACTCTAAGTAGTGAGCAATTTACACTAGAGACTCAAGGTATAGAACCTCACGTGGCAATCAATAGCAAAGTAGACATACTGGAGGGTTATAAAACAGGGAGAACACACGGCCTTGGGGTCTTTAATGCAACATGCACAAATGAATCACAAGGAGAAGCAATTTACCAAAGGAGTATTTAATACCTGATATACTCTGACATAAAATGAATTCTTCATGCATTTCCAGTAGTTATCAAAACTTTACGTCAAATCGTCTCATAAGGATTGCCACCTGGAATGCAAGCTTCATAACAGAACCCTATCAAAATCCAAAAGCCCCTAAGACAGGGCTCTTGTTATATCACATGCTCCAGCTTCAGAGAGTTGTTGTGACTCACTCCTCCTTCTAGAAAATCACGACCAAAAACACAGTTCCCAAAGCAATCGCTGACATACCTCAGGTGTGCTAGTGAAAAAAGAGATTGAAAACCAGCAATAGCTACAGAATGTCTACACAGGGGCAGCAATCAGGTTACATTAGAATGCTAAAGGGATCCTTCTTGAAGCTGTGTTTGCATAGCAAAGCTACACATATATAAAAATGCCAGTTTCCTAACTAGGTGTTTTCACATTTATATAGGACTAAGAGACTATCCATTGTCACCAAGAGCCAAGAGTGAATACCATTGTTCTTGTTGTTGTTGGAGTTCCTTGAGAGTCATGCTGGAGATGTTGAGGGGCACCAAAGCCACCTTTGAGAACCAGGGGCTCTGCTCTCCAATCTTGTGGTTGGCTGTAATGACGAGTGCAATTTACAACCTTGGATGAAGTTTCTTTCTGTGAAGAACTAATCTGTCTTCCTCATCATCAAATAAACAACTCTAACATCACCAATACTACATCTCAGTTACCCCAGATGGTAGCTTAATAGCCTGAAAGAATTAATAGTGCACCTCTAAGCACATTATTCACCCAGAGAATAGCTGAAGCAATGGAAGGAATCTGGCCCATTATATCCCACACAATTGCTAAACAATAAGCAATCACAGAAATGAAGCATGCCATATGGTCATCTCTCCACTATATTATGATTCATTGTAATAAAAGTACTGTTCAAAACCCTTGTAGAAATTTGAAAGGCATACCTTTCTTTTCTGGAAGAAACATTACAATAAGACAAGCCAGTCCTCCTAGGCACAGAAATGCTGATAATGTTCGCTTCCGACCAAACCTAAACAATAGAAAGAAATTACACAGTTCTCTTAAGAACCTTATAAATTCATCTGTTTCTTCCCAACCTTCTTATTTAAAAATCTTCAGTTTCATTATATATGTTCATCTCCTTTTAAGGCATAAGTGGCAAATGTGACTGATAGGAAACTGACCAGGACTCAAAATAAATAACCACTACAAAACAAAGGGAAAGTTGCCGGATGGCAGGATTAAGTGATTTGTGTGGGAAAAGAGCATACATAGTATCATTCTATCTATTTCCATGAGTGCTAAGTTTCAGACACTGTTTTAAATGTTTACCATCTATTACCTTATTTAATGCTAATAAAAATCCTGTAGGCATGTACTATTATATTCTCCATCTTTTAGAGAATGAAACTGAAACAAGGAGAATAGTCTTACAACTTCCTTTATTTTCTGGTTACCTTTTCTGGTTTTATGCAGTTTAAAGTTTTGGCATTTTTTTTTAAAGTCAATCTCTCTTAAAAATACACACAGAAAAAAAAAATTTGTTAGTGGGTTACAAATAAGTGAAATGTTATTTCATACTTATTGAGAGAAGCGATTTTGAAATAAAAGCCCTAGTCTTGGAAGAAATATATTAACATTAATAAGTCTCCCTTTTCTAGGGGCTTACAACATGCCAGGCACTTTTACTAGGAACCTCAATAATTTTGATAATTTTGCCAGTGAATTTTACAATCCCTGGTTTGAGAATAAGTACGAAGGGAGGCTTAGTGAAGAAACTTGTCAAAGTCATACAACGAACACATGGCAAAGACTAGATCTGAATTCAGGTCTGCCAGATCACAAAGGTAGCCTTCCTTCCCTCTGCTTCAGATTTCAATCCTAACTCTGGGTGGTGCTAAGAAGGTCTTAAGTCTTCTTTTCCAGGTCATTTTGCTTAATTTAACAGTCAATATGGAAGGCCTTTCAAGTAACACACACCATGCTAGGCAAGTACCAGGGATGCAAAGACACATAAAATACCCCATGGACGGCTTCCTTGTAACACTTTTAAATGGCCCCAGAGGTATGCACAGGGTGCTAGAGCAGCACAAAGGAGAGGCATCTGGCACAACTGGGGGTACTGGGAAAGACTTCTGAATATAATACATGATCCAGCTCTTGTATCATGATGAGAGGAAGCTGTAGCCTCTACCATAGGGATCAGCAGAGGCAACTGGGAACACTGCCTGGGAGACAAGCCTTCAATTTAACAGAATCCAAACCTGCCCTTCAAAACACTCTCGGCTAAAACATCATGACAATAGCATTAAGCACAATGCCAAAGGAATTCTGAGTTTGGTTGGAATGATTATTTCTGGAGAAAAAGAAATGGCATAATTCAACTGATTCCCAGCTCATGCAGAATGGGATTTTTAGGTGGCCTGGTCAGGGGCTAAGTAACAGAAGCAATCTCAAAAATTGAGGAAAGGGGGCTCTATAAAATAATGTTTAAAATCTATCTCAAAACTGTGCCCACTGACAATGAGTAAAACAGTATATCTTCTGCCTCCTCAACAAAGTAAGGTGGGCCATAGAAGATAAGAAAAGTCTTTCTAGTTCCTTCAATTATTTGTCTTCTTGTAAGAACTTCTAAATATTTATTGTTAATTGGGTTTATAGAGTTTCATCTACATAGAGCTAATAATCTCATCTCTGGCGACTAACAAATTACATACAGACTACTCACAAACCCTCTGATGGTAATATTCAATACTATCTTGGATTTTGATATTCAATATTGAATTGAAACCTATATAAAAACTCGTAAACATGAAACTCAAGAAATCCTGCACTAAGAAATGAATTCTAACTGTTTTTAGATGGAAAGAAACTAATCACCACAGAGCAATCAGCTGATACTGCATACAAAGACAACACCATGTAGATATGCATGTGTATCAGAGGGCATATGTGTGTGTGTGTGTTCTCTGTGGTGCACTTCATATTCATCCACACTTACTCACCATTTTTGGTTAATCAAGTAGATACAGAGAGGGTAAGATGGAATCTCTATGAGGCCAGACAGGGCCAGGTTGGCATAAATACTTCCACCTAGATCACCCGCACTCAGAGTTAGGCCATAATACACCAAGCTGCACACAAACCTGCAATTGGGAGTCAAAGGACCAGGAGGTAAAAGACAAGAAGGACAATAGAAAACTACATAAGAATTTGCCAGAGAAGATTCAAATAGTGGTTCAATATGGTGGCTTGATCTGCTGCAAGCAATAAGCTTGTCTCTCCTACTAATTTTTCTATTATAATCTAAATTTCAACACTAGTTAAAAACAAAAAATTATGGGGGCTTGGAAATAATTTGAGCTATGTCTACATGTTATATAAATCAAATGGATGGCCAGCCCCTTAAAGAGGAAAGACATTGCATGTGCTTTCAGCAAGCATTTTTGCAATTAATAGAACACAATGACCCTATTCTTTATTTAAGGCAACAATTTATGGAACACTTGTTATAATATTATTGTTGTAATATTATTGAAATGATTCCAGAAAAGAACTCCCATTGAGAAAGCCAACTATGGTCTTAAGAACATGAGCTGAGAAGTGACTGGATCTTCAGTGGGTCACCTGAAGGCCCGAAATGACTGGCACTCCAATCCCCAATGATCCAGACACTTCCCATTGCAGGTTTTAACCCCATCCTGCACTCAGTAGGTGTATATGACACAGACTCCCAGAACAGGAAAGAAAAATTAAAGGTCACAGCAAAGACAGGATCTTCTAGGAGGAACAACTGAGGAAGGGTCACTTAAAAAGCCATTAATTTATTGATGTACACCATTCCTGAAACAAACAGGGAGCTCCTCTTGGGTGGCAGGCATTGTGCAGGGCACCAAGCCTCTCTCCTACAATCCAGGAACTAAAGAGCTGAGGAAGCCAAGTGCCAACCTAAAGATCCAAATCAGGGCTTCCTCAAATACAGTAATGGTGGTAGTAGGAACTTCTATGCCTGGGAAACTGCATTATTAAAATAAAACAAAACAAAATAGAATAGAATGAACAAAAACAAAACCCTGAAACTGGGCTTTACAAGAATATGAATATGTTTGGTAAACCACAAATTTCTATACAAGCAGTAAAATACCGAAGCTTTGTTAAGTTCATCAGTTTTTATGCTTTTGCAATGCAGTTTGATCAGTGTTTATTAAGGGGACGTTCTCATTTGCTTCCCTTTAGCTTTCCTTAGAGAAAGTCTAATGAGCTGTGGCTATAATGAGATCAATCAGGAAAGTGAGTTTTATTTCCATCTCTGCTTAATCTCAGAAGTGGGCCAAGTACTCCAGACTGTGGTAATGTAAGGAGAGAGAGATGTAAGGAAGTGGGACCCCCAAGCTGGAGTGGTTAGTAGTCCAGCCCTCCCTAGCAAATGAGCCAGAAGTATTATGCATGACTTCTTGCTGAGATGAAGTGTTATTCATATACCAAGGGCAACAGGCAGGATCGTAGCCAGGACATCACATGTAAGGATGCAAGGTGACACTGCATTGTCTATTCTCACTGTCTTCCAGGTATCTTGCATGAAAGCAGAGGGCAAAATAAATTTAAATCCATGTAGTTTTCTAAAATGCTTTTAAAATCCTTTATACCTGCAGAAGAGACTTTCCTCTTACATAATGCTGTTTCCCAGTTAGTTTTCTGTGTGTCTGTTCTGCATTTACAATAGAAATTCCAGACACAGACACACACACACACACACACACACACACACACACACACACACACACCCCTATTTAAATCAAGCTGTGACAGTATCAAGTCAAGGCAAGAATAGACAAGCCAGTTCAGGACAATAGTGGAATTTAGTTCCCAGCTGGTGATGAGAGAGAATGGGGAGAGCATGAAGCATGGAAGGCCCATTGTCTCCAGGGCTGGGCCTCTGCTCTGCAAGTTGCCTTCATCACAGAGTTGGTCATTGGGATCCATAATTACAACTATTAAAATCATTTCAATCCTCTTTATGTCCCCCAAACAAAATTTAAAATGCTTGTGTAATATTTAACAGTATATTTAGAGCATCAAAGAACTACTTAAAAAGGCACTATTGTGGAAAATAACCAAAGAAACAGATGTTTAACACAGAGATATAACTTGAATCCCCAGTTAAGGCTTTCTTGAATGACAGATCCACAGAGAAGATTTTAGAATTTTATAGCATCTTCAAAAAGAATGGCAATATGTGGAGTGACTGTCTCTATTATCACATGTTTTAACATTCTCAGCCTCAGGGAAGAAGTTTATTTGGCTGTGTAAGAAATAAAATGAACAGGGACAGTCTCCCCAGCCCTAAGTCTAGGGTTTGTTTGTTTATCCATTGAAGGCCAGAACCCAGAAGTTAATATACATGGGGAAAAAGATAAAAATAGTGAATAATCTGCAACAAGTAAGTGGTTCCTCCAAGGCAGAGACTGACTAACTGTCTATGTGATATGCAAACATAAAGTTTTATGGAGCCCTAAGTACCTGAACATACTTTGTATTTGTTTTTCAATAGTAGAACCTCAAATCAGCAGCTCCTATGCTGTGTTCTCAGGTTTGGCTTTCAGCGGTTTTCTTAATCTCCATGCCTCCAAGCCTCAACATTTATTATGCATCTGTGATATTCCTAGCACTGTGATGGTTTTGTGGGGGAAAGTAGCAGCTGGTTAACATGGCCCCCAACCATACAGGTGGCAGCCACTGCTTGGGTAGAAAAAGAGAATATGATATAGAAAAACATCTTTGCAGCTTCTTATTCTAAAGCTACTATTCTTTGTAACTTTATACATAAGATCACTTTCATATAAAATCACTTTCCTTTATCCCTGCATGAAATGTAGGGTTCCATGCAGGCTTCGTGGCAAATACATATAAGCCACAGCACAACGGTCCTTTAGGCTAGTAGGTATGATTTTGCCCAGATAACACTTATGGCACGTTAGCAGTATGTACAATATCAAAACACATGTGCAATCCACAAATTGTATGCACCCATCCATTTCTCCTCTTTCTACAACTTCATTCTTTAAATGAACCCATCTTGAACCACTGAATGCAACTTACACTCATGCTGCGAGCATTTTGAGAGGCAGGTGGGAATAAGCTAAACGACCAGAAAAATCAGGTTCAGAAAGTGCTCATCAGTTCAATCACTGATTTACATATGTGGCTTAGGGTTCCTCACTTCAAACTCCTGGGGTCCCATCTGTACAAGGGATCATATTTAGCCCACCTCAGTGAGTTAGTGAGTGGGAGTGCCACAGAACATGCAGCATGAAGCACCACAATCAGAATGTGCTAGCAAACTGCGTGATGCCAACGCCAAAGGTAAGTATTTTTAAAGTCCTATTTAAAAACTCTTCTATTTCTAGCATGCTTATTTGCCTTCTTTCCTTTTTTGCAGCGGAAGGGGCAGGAAGGCTTAAATATTTATGATAAATACCTCAACAGCAAAGACATGCTTCTGATGTCTACTTACTTAAGCTCAGTGGACCTGCCCATCAGGCACCACCATCTGCTGCTTGAGAAAGACAGGGCTGCGCAAGAAGAAAACCAGGCACTAAGAATTAGGGGCCTTGCTTTTAAGAAACAACCTCAAGCTAACAAAAGAGGTAAAATTCTCTGTACCCTGAAGAAGGAGCAGGATATCAAGAGAACCTTGAGCAACCTTAGTTAAAGAGCAACAGAATACGCCTTAGTATAATTACCAGATGAACATCAGGATCAAAGTGTGTCCTAAGAGGACCCGGTAACGAAACAGATCCAGGAAACTTCCAGTCTCCCTGCAGCTCCTGTTGGCGGGGTGTGTTAGTGAGAATGTGCACTTGAGCTTGCGGTTCCTCTTGGCAATGAGGTACAGAGCCTCTTCAGCCTCACTCAGTCGACCCTGGGAGTATAACCAACGAGGTGATTCAGGAATGAATCTGAAAGAGATGTCATTAAAGGCTGTATATTCATATAGGCACACGTGCACAGGAAGGAGACAAATCACCTACTCAGTACGTGGATTCCTGCACCACAAATGGATTCCGTGTTAGACTTAAAGTTTGACTCTCCCAATGACATATGAAAGGGCTACTTTCAACAGCATGGTAATGTTAAATGGTAGTCTACCGCTGAAAACCAAGAACATGCTTTTACAATTGCAGTTTAAAAAGCAAACAGTATGTATTTATTTTTAAATAAATTTTAATATGTGAATTTTAATATGTTAAATATTAACATTATTCAGTCTATAGGACTGAATAATGAAAATTCTTCATAAAGCACAGGTCAAAGATATGGCTCTAAATCCTAGCCAAGTGTTGTTTGAATAATACTGTAGAGACAAAGGGTTTTTTTAAGTTCTAAAAAAGCCTCACAAAGAAGATGGAAATCTTTATTATCTCATCAGAAAAAAAAATTTAAACTAAAATGTTTTTAACATAGTGACATGTAGGAGGTAGAGATTATCTTAAGACTACACATAAAGATGAAACCAAGTTTAGCAAAGCTACTTTTGAGTGTTTACTGCTTCAAAATACTCAAATCACCTGACACACTGGCTTTAAAACGTCCTGAGGATATTTCCTGATCCCCCAAGACCTTAAAGAATAAAAGTTATTTCCTGATCAACTTCTAGTTACAACACAACAGTTATTTTCTAATGTAACTACAAAGTGTTGGACAATTATATTGCCACTGATATATTCGAAGAGTTTCAAAACTTAAATGTTACGTATCTTTTTCCTCTTCCCCATTTTGCCTACACTTTTAGAGGTCTTTCCAAAGACAAAACCAAGGCAGGAATATGGAAGCCTTGTTTACAAGACACAAATCAAGGGTTTTTTTTAAATCTAATTTGACATTATCTGCCTAAAATGAAACTTCGATGAATAAAACTGGCTATTTAAGGTGCTTTATAGAATTCACTGCGCCTTCTAATAAAGATAGTGAATTAGCAACAAACTCTACAGGATTTGGAAACTTAATGGACAGCCAGTCTGTCAACAACCATTTATTGAGCATTTCAGTTTTGTACAGAGCAATGTAATGGTGCTGAAAGGAAAGACGCTGGAAACCAAAAGGCAGGAGTTTTACCAGGAGCTTTGCTACTGGGGAAAAGAATATTCATGCACGATAAAAAAGCAGGAACAAAGGCCATCTACAATATCCTGAAAAATCCTTCCATTTACTTCTTCATTGTCATTTGATTGTTATTACTGACAAACAAATAAATAATCAAGTAACATTGTTCTGTTGAAGTTAGGTGTGCAGGTTATGAATGAGATTTATTGGCCCTATCTATAGGGCCAGATAGGAGCTATTATGTAAAACCACTTGATTATGCCTAAATGAAAGAGGACTACTATGATAAATATTGAGAGAAAATATACGACAATAAAAGTTAATTATTTGGGGGAGGATTGTGAGGAATAAAAAAGAACAGAAAATATGCCAAAATATTCACAGTCATTATCTTTGGGTTATATGTCATTTTCCCCTACCCTTAGCCTCTCTGTGTTTTCAAAATTGCTTATAAGCAATAAAAATTACTTTTAAAACTTTATAAATCATTTTAAAGATGGTATTTGAGAGACACGAAGGCTTTAGAAATTTGGCTCTGAGTTAATAAAACTATTTCTACCTGGCAAAGCGTTTATCTTGATCATGAAAATCTTAGGACCTTATATTTCTCTGCATTTTGCGAGGCCAATAAGCTTGCTTATAAAGAGGGTCACCTAGTTGCCAGTGGACAGATTTGGAAACAGAGTTCCAACACATAGAGACTATACATGCAGAACAGTAAAACACATTTTTAAAAGAGCGAGCAGGCCTTTGAACATGCCGTCCTCTACAGAGCAGCAGGGTCATCTGTGCCGTGGGCTCCTCTGAAAGCTAAAATGCTAATTTAACGATGTTGCCCCACTCAAAAATGCTCCTTGAATATTAAAGGTGGCAAACCTTTGTAAATTAAGGGGATCCTGGTTTTCAGGAAAAAAAAGTAAATCTACTGATATTGAAGTATTGTGAAAATAAGGAATTTTTCAGCTAGGTAAAAATGTTTCTGATAAACAAATAAGGTATATAATGTGGCTTCTTATGTTGCTGATGAAAAATTCTGAAGGTGATTCCAGATGTTTTTGTACCAACATTTGAGCAATGTCCGAGGATCTACTGTGTGGAAACCCCTGGCTTTGGTACTGGGGAAAATGTAATCATGGAGTAAAGAGCCTGCTACTATTGGAGAGCTCTCAGTTTAGAGAGAATGTCGCTCCAGTATGAGGCAGAAACACAAGGACCACTCAGAGGGTATGGGTGAATGCCGTGGAATTCAGAAAAGAAAGAGAATGACTTGTAGCTGAGGCTATGAGCAGGAAAAGATGGGGTGGACGGCATTTGAGCAAATCAGGACAGTGGCGTACTTATCAAATAAGAGGATCTGGGCAGATTGTTGAAAAAGCAGGCACAGCACTGAGTAGCAGCATGGAGCAGAAAAGCATCAGGAACAAGTAGTGCAGTGTGCCTGAACATGGGATGGGAATAAATTAGGAAAGATAAATTGGAGGCTGGCTGTGGGAAGCCTTACGTTCCAGGCTCAGTGGAGTAAGCAAATATTTTAGTCTCATGAGTTCTTTTCTCTCTGCTTTCTATTTTTCATGACCAGAACTCACTTCCCAGTGAGGAGATGTCTCCCCCTAGCACTAAGCAGTAACTAATTCAGACTATATATTCAAAAAAAGAGCAGCTCAGAACATCTAGTGAAGTGGTGCTACTGTTAAAGGGGAGATGAGAGCCCGACAAGATGGAGAAGTAGGAAATTTACTAAACGTTTTAAAAAAAATTTATTTATTCATCAATATTTACATAAATGTTTATTAATTCAAAGTACTATAGTAGGCATCCATTTATTACTTTCAAAAATTGACAATATATAAGTTAATAAAATCAATTAGTTTCTTCTAATAAAATTATCTCACTCGAATTTATGTAACTAAAATACATTTAATAATTTTTATTTTTAAAATACAGGGTACTTCTACTTTACTCATTTTTGCACTTGACATTCTCTTGCTTTCAAAAATGTATGAAAAATTTCAATTTAGTCCCCACCAAATCTCAATTTAGAACTCGGATAAAGAGCAAATAAATTAAAGAGTTGTCTGAATTAAAACACTACTACAGGTCTCCTTCACTTTATGGAATAGATGAAGGAAGGAAACACTGGCTGAAAATTTTGTTTATGTTAAAGATTTTGATGATCACCATCAGAGATCTGATATCTCAGGGAAGAAAAGCCTTTCATATACCACATAAAAACTTCTGCTGGGCGCAGTGGCTCATGCCTATAATCCCAGCACTTTGGGAGGCTGAGGCAGGCAGATCACCTGAGATCAGGAGTTCAAGACCAGTCTGCTGACCAACATGGAGAAACCCCGTCTCTACTAAAAATACAAAATCAGCCGGGTATGGTGGCGCATGCCTGTAATCCCAGCTACTCGGGAGGCAGGAGATTCGCTTGAACCCGGGAGGCGGAGGTTGCGGTGAGCTGAGATTGCGCCATCGCACTCCAGCCTGGGCAACAAGGGTGAAACTCCAGCTCAAAAAAAAAAAAACAAAAAAAAAAACTTCTGGTGAAATGGGCTTACTAAGTTGGTGGCTTGCCTGTAACATCTGGGCGTCTTAGAGGGCCATGGTATGACACCTTGGGCAGTCATTTACAGAGTCCTTCCCTGACCAGGGAATCATCCTGCCACTGTTATGAGGTCCTGCACTCTAAGGATTTCTTCTGTATCTAAGACTCTTCCAGAGTCAAAATTTAGAGCCCCTGAAATGACACTAATCTGTAAGATGAACAGTTGTCACTACATATCCAATATGAGTACACTGTTCTACAAAATCATACCTCAGTCACACACCTAGTACATAATGTGATCCAGCCTGAAGACCTTTAAGGTTGAGGTGTTAGGTTAAAAAAGCAATTGGTTACCTATGCCAACAAGGTGAAGGTTACAATGCAGTCTATTGAGAGGTTATTTTAAACAAGGGATACCTGCATTCTGAATTAATTAAGCATCTCTCTTCCCAGGAGCTGCCAAGAATTGGAGCACTTGCAGAATTTAGTTCTTCACCAAAGTCAGTGCAGGCAAGCTCCTGAAAGGGAATAATGCTGCTCATTGACCCACATCTTCTTAAGACATTGCTTTGGCTTTTTAAATTAAAACGCCAAGAGGAAAAACTACTTACAAAGATAAGAGAAAGACCACTGTTCCCTGCAGGTTAACCAGAACGGCTAGCGTCCTCCAGGAGCGGATGAAGTATCCTAACAGGGCATATTGGGCAATGCCAACTGCAAAGAAGAGGCCGCCAATCGATCCTAATTCAGGGAAAAGAGAACTGTCACTGGAGAAAGCACCATCTGCGGCACCATTTCCAACCCCAAGTCACAGAGCCAATTTCTTCCTGGTGAGATGTCAGCCCTATGCTGGCAAGTGTAAGAGGCACACCAGAAAAGAAGAAAAGTCTACACTAAGTTGAACATCAGTGAATGAAAGTATTATAGTTGAACATCAGTGAATGAAAGTATTATAGAGGTCAGAAAATTAGTGGAAATAAAGAGAGGACAGACGAAAAATACAAACTATATGGGGACATACACATTTTAAGAATTTGTCCAAAATGCTTTCTGCATTGCCTGTTGTACTGACATTTGCCTGAACCTGTGGGTAAGGCTTGGAAATACTTTTGCCATAGGGGTAATACAGTTTTTAGGTCATGAGGTTATTGCAATACCAAAACTTAATCTTTATCACACAGGCTGTCCTTTAACTTTCTTTCTTTTTCTTTTGTTTTTTGGGTTTTTTTTGTTTTTTTGAGACAGAATCTCGCTCTGTCACCCAGGCTGGAGTGCAGTGGTGAGATCTCTGCTCACTGCAACCTCCATCTCCCGGGCTCCCGGGTTCAAGCAATTCTCTGCCTCAACCTCCCGAGTAGCTGGGTTTATGGGCACCCACCACCACACCTGTCTATTTTTTTTTTCTTTTTGTATTTTTATTAGAGATGGGGTTTCACCATCTTGGCCAAGCTAGCCTTTAACTCCTGACCTTGTGATCTACCCGCCTCAGCCTCCCAAAGTGCTGGGATTACAGGCGTGAGACACCTTGCCCAGCCGAAGTTTCTTAAATCACAACTCACTCTCCCAATTCTCCCTACTGCTTTCTCTACTTAATGTATTACTATAGGATACATGACATTTTGTATTTATCTGTTTCCTGTCTGTCTTTCCCAAGTAGAAAATAAGTTCCCTTAAGCATGGATTTTTGTCAGCGTGATGATGGAAAAATATCAACCATGGAATTATAAAGAACCTTTTACACTTTTTGAAATAAATATTGAGATGGGTATTAAACCCACAGGCTTGCCCAATATTCTTGCAAATTCTGTACCTCTAACCCACTTTCCATAACTGCCACTATTGCTATTAGTGGTAGTAATAGCTATTATTTATTAAGCATATTGGTTTCGCATACATTGTCCTATGAAGTAGGTACCATTATCAACCATATACTAAAGTGAAAAATAGCTCAGAGTGCTTAAGTGAAGCTGCTTAAGGACACAGAGCTGTAAGCAGCAGGGCCAGGATTTGTGCCCAGGCCTGTCTGAGGGGGAGGCCTGTATTCTATACCATTCCTCTCTTCTATCTCCCCTCTATGGGAAGGCAATTTCTGTGGGCATTCCGCAGTGACAAAACTTTGTTGATCTTGTTACAAAATAATAATCTTGTAATACATGTGTTTCCTTTGATTCCTATCCATAGCTTATTACTTTATAACAAATAAGTAATGGCTTGTATACTGTTTGACCTAGTGAGGAAAGGGAGAGCTAGAAAGGGAAGCTGATGTGACAGCATATTCAGAATATGTGGTCCAATGAGTCGTGGGATGAGGACAGTGCGAGTTTCCTGGAAATTTAAGACAGTCAATAGCTACTACGTGTTCACTGCTGTAGATCAAACAGCACCTGGCTTCCAAGAATAAGACTTCTTGTCTGTCGTTGCTCAGAATAGTCCTGAGCACTCAGTATCCCTTGACAACAATGTAGGCAAAAACAAGAAAGCCCAGAGGATGGGATGGTTTCAGAGGGACCAAGTTCAGATGCCAGTTCTGCTACATACTACTCTGACCTTGGGCAAATCACTAAATGTCCTTGAGCCTCAGTTTTCTTATTGGTGAAATAGAAATAATAGTGCCTACCTCAAAGGGTAGTTTTTATTAGTTTCAGATGAAATAATGCATGTTATACAAATGTTGGTTATATTGTCCTAATGTAATCTGGATTTAGCCCTTCTATTTATTAACCTCAAAAAAAAAAAAAAAAAAAAAAAAAGGCCATCTAAACCCCCCTGTTGAATCTATCACAGAATATTTTCTACCTGGTTCTCATTCCTAATTCCAAGAATGCCCCACCTGCTGTGGGAGAACTGACTTCCCTGACTTCATCTCTGTGGTTCAAATGGGGCCTGCCAATTATAGTTCCTTTAACTGCAGGGTGACTTTAATCAGCTGAGCTGATCAGAGGCCTTACCCAAGATTTTAAATACTAGACTTGGAGCTGCTGGGCCCTGCCTCTGACTACACAGAGGAAGCTTCTCAGAGAGCATAGGGAGCTGAAATGAGAAGCATCTGACTTCTGGTTCTGGGCATCTTCAATGCCTGGCTCTTCATGGTCTAGTTATCTTAACCAAATGATTTCCCCTTATATATGAGCTCATTAGAGTTGAGTCTCTCTCACAATCAGTAAGATCTGGCATCAACTGGACATGATGGACAAGAAGAAATGATTCAAAGTTATCTAGTTTGGTGACCTTAAATTCTGTGATGACATAGGCAGAGGTCTCAGAAAATAATGTAGCTTTTAGGTGGAAAGAAAGTAATAATTTTTTATTTAAGGAGTCAATAATATTCACATCTAATGTCTAGCAAGAAGCTGCACATATACGCCTGTAAATGACAACAGGGAGAAGGCGTAGAGATGAATATAATAAGGCTCTATGCTATTTGGTTTAAAAAAATTAATAAAAAATAAACATTTCAAGTCATCTCTTCTGGAGTATCATAGGTGGCTTTATAACCATGTACATGCCTTTACGTACTAGGCCTATTTTAAAATTTATTCCCTGCTTATTTTTAATTAATTTCAATTCTGCTATTCCTGCTCAGTTTGCACTAGTAAAAGCTAAATTTCAGCAGGCTAGAAAAGAGTATATAGTTATGACTTCATTTTTGTAAATGGTACCAGTAATCCATCTGGTTTTCAAATAAAGACCATAAAGTCTCCTTGAGTTCTTTTGCTCTCCCCATTGCTGCTTGTCCTTTAGCAAGTCACTTTCCCACCAAAATCCAGCTCAAACACATCCTCTTTCTTCTCCACTGCTTCCATCTTGTCTAAGTCACCACTGGTTTCACGTGGCCAACTATAGCAGCCTACTAAATGATCCCTCAATTTCTGTACCTACCAGAGTAATCTTTCTGTATATGAGACCCTATCACTCCTGTATTTAATATGCCCCACTGGCTTCCCACTGTACTTCAAGTAAAAAAACAAATTCCTCATTTGGCCCATCACAGGCCCTGCATCATCTGGTCCCTCCCAACCTCTTACTTCACTCTTTCCCTAACTCTCTACCCTGTAGTCATGAGAACCTTTTCAAAGAAGTTCCTTCCTGCTTCAAGTCCTGGGTTTTTGCCATTCCATCTAGCTAGAATATTCTTCTCCCAGAATTTCACAGGTCTTCCTAATCATTCATATCTTAGATCAAATGCCCACACTGAGGTTTTCTCTAACTATCCTATTTAATGTAGCTACTCCCTATAATTACTATCTAGCCCATTACCCTCCTTCATTTTCTTCATTGTACTTCTAACTTCCAGAAATTATCAATTTGTTCCACCTTTCCTAAGTACAGCATAAGCTCCATGAGAGCAAGAACCTCCCTCAAACCATCCTTATCTTTTCCACCTTTTTATCTAAAAAAAGCAGTGTTTGGCACATGGCAGAATCCATTTAATAAATGAATGCTGTGGAACAGACATGCAAAGGAAAAGCTCTGGAAGCATACACAGCAATATGTTAACCACGGTTGTCTCTAGGGGAATAGGACTATATGTATTCTTTAGTTTGATGAAGTGTGCATATATTTCTTATTTTTTACCATGAGCATTGTTATAGGAAGACATTAATATAAGAAAACAAATAATAAATATATTAATATGGAATTTTTCACAGCTTCAGTATTTTTTTTCACTTCTTAATCATTTTTAGTCAATTAGCTGAAAATCCTTTTTGTTAAGTACTACACTGCAAACAGGTCAAAAATGGATGCTTGCAGTTTGTACTTGTGCTTTTTTGTATATGTTTACATATTGTTTTTTACACATTGCAAATATTATTTTGTAATAAGCATAATTTTTCAAACTAATTTTCATTGCCAAATAATCAGGCTATTTCCAGCAAATCCCCTATTGCTGAACATTTATGCTTTTCTCTGACTTCTTGCAATTCATAAGCATATTTGAAGCCACAGGTGTAGATAAAATCATTCTGGAAAGAAACCAGCTTGCAAAGAAAGACCAAGGACAAAACCCTGGGGAAGACCTCGGGTTCATGAGAGAGGGAAGGAAGCTACTCAAAAAGAGTTCCAGGAGCTATCAGAGCCTTACTTTTGCCCTGGGTGCAGGGCTGTGTACTGGTCTTCAGGGAACTCTCACACTTGCTCTGAATTTCACATTGAATTTGGCAACCATCTGGTTTCACTGTTACAGTTTTTCTTCCTCTCTCCCTTTTCACTTTGCTACAGAAATTTTGATAGTCTCATCTTAACCCAGCATCAAGGATAAGAATGAGAGGTCAAAACACTTCAAGGGGACTCTTTTCAGTGGCTTTAGGCAACTAGCAAAAGAGCAGGAGACCAGGGTTGGTCCTTTCGCCTAACACATGCAACAGGACAGGAAAAATACTTAGATAATCTGGCAGGATGGGAGTGTATACATCTTTTATAAAACAGCATCTTCATGAACAACTAAAATCAAATATAAATACTTTAATAGAGAAATGTAAGAGGTACAAGAAAAATATGTATTCATGGTGCTCTACATGAGCACAACTTTGGACCTCAGAAAAACTGAAATCAAAGGAGAGAGTGCCTTTATCCCTTCCCCGGATACAGGGAGCAGGCATGATCACCATCATTACCAACTTTTTAGAAAGTCCCAGGAAATTGGCCATACTATTTAGAAAAATGACCCTAAAGTCTCAATGCAAATTGAAGACTCAGAGGAAGCTCTTTCACTCATCCTAGGTTACAACCAGTTCCAAAAAGGCTTTAGAAGTTGCTACAGACAAGGTGAATCCTAAGGCAACACTGTAAGACCAGAAGGAAGCCTGTCTGGAGAGGCGTGTGAAGGAAGCTTGTGTCTCTTCCTCCCCAGCCTAGTTCTAACTGGTCCTACCCTATGGATCCTTCCACTCGACAGCAGTTTAGTGGAGATGCAAACAGAGCACAAGTCTACTTTATTTAGCCTGTGTCTTCCAGTTCGATAAAATAGCCCATACAACTTCAAAAACAATACCAATTAGAAATAACAGGTTGACCAGGCCAGCACTCACATGAGGTGACATGCTGAAGTTCCAAGAGGAGAGTCTTTGGGAAACAGCAGAAGATGACCTGGGTGTCATCAAGACCCAGGATGTGGTTCTGGCCCTGTCAGTTATCAGCTGCTGAAAACGGGCATGTCACCTCACCTCTCAAAGGCTCAATTTCCACATCCATAAAATGAAGGTAGGAATCCTTAACTTGTAAACTCTGGGAATATTACAGATAGATGTCAAATACCTAGCATGGTAGCTGGTACATAAGAGATGGCTGGCACTGTGCATCAGCTTCTAAGGAATGGCATTCTCATATAGATCCTCCTGCAGACACATTTCTATCAGTCACACAGTCAACCTGTTTCCCATATCCATATAAGAACATCCATGGGAAACATTCAATCATTGTCAAGTGAATGAAAGTAAAAGAAACAAAAAGTTATCATTGCAAACCTAAGTCTATAAAGTCTTAGACACAATATTTGAAGTCAAACAACCTTTTAATTAAAATCATTTATTTTATTATCTATGTAGTTCTTGAGAAAATAATGGGATGGTCAAAACTAATTCAGAATACAGTCTCAATTTTGGAAATTAAGTATCAATAAAGAAATGCTACAACAGTACTATGTTGACTTGAGAGCAGTAAAAACAAAAAAGGGTGGTGAAACAAAGATTTAATAAACTAGAATAAGAAGGCTGTAAGAAAGGAGTTTCTAGTATTTCCTATGTCTGAACTATTTTTCAGTTTAAGTTGTAAAAAGCTGCTAGTGTCCTTCTGAGGAAATCAATACTCTCCACAGTAATCTGTATGCAGTCCATGAGGCGGGTGGCAAGCTCACATGTGAAGCAGGCCCCCAGGGAGAGTGTCTGCAGAGGAATATTAATAAAGTGACTTGTTCAGGGTCATACAGAACAAACTCTGAAAAGCAAATCTAATAGTTGGACAAAGTACCTGAAGTCCAAATGCATTTCCAGACTCTAGGATTAAACTGGGTCCCTATAAGATTTTCTGGAGCTGCTCACCCAGTCCAGAGCTGCATGATTTAAGCAGTACCTGCAAGTGCCCAGTAGGCGGTGCCCACACATTCATTAAGCAAGACAAAGGCCACCAGCGACATCCCTCCATTCATCATGCCCACCAGGAAGCGAGTTATTGCAAAGAACTCATATGAGGGGGAAAATCCATTTGCAATTGCAAATAAGATGTCAAGAGCAAAACCTAGAAAGAGAGAACAATATTCAATAATCCAGAGGCAAAATAGCATTTGATCAAAGTAATAAATTATATTCATTAGCTTATAAAATAAACGTTTGTAAACTTAAATTTTCTGAGCTGGTTTTTGTTTTGTTTTGTTTTGTTTGAGATGGAGACTCACTCTGTCGCCCAGGCTGGCGTGCAGTGGTGCGATCTTGGCTCACTGCAAGGTCCGCCTCATGGATTCACACCATTCTCCTGCCTCAGCCTCCCGAGTAGCTGGGACTACAGGCATCCGCCACCATGCCTGGTTAATTTTTTTTTTTTTTGTATTTTTTAGTAGAGATGGGGTTTCACCGTGTTAGCCAGGATGGTCTCGATCTCCTGACCTCGTGATCTAACCACCTCGGTCTCCCAAAGTACTGGGATTACAGGCATGAGCCACCATGCCTGGCCAGCTGGGTTTTTTTTGTTTGTTTGTTTTGTTTTTTTTTTAATAGCTTCTCTTGGAAACTATTTTTTTAAAAAAACATAAGGTTTACCTTATTACATGATTTCTGTCAATCACAGACAGTTTTCAATTATTCACAATAATGCTGGAAAATGAAAAATCCTTGCTCATACTCAGCTTGTCAAAAGCACTAGGCCAAGTTCTGTAGGGCTCATTTGAAATTAATCAACACAGAGAGATATAAGGAAATGGGCCTAGTACACTGTCACAGTCTCTTACTTCTCTCCTTAGCAACATGGCATAAACTAAAATTGGGGGTTTGCAGAAAGCACCATCACCTATGAAAGATTTATAACACAAATATCTGACTTTAACTAGGTGGGCTAGTAACTTAAAAGTGCCTGGCCAGAAGCAACTCGAGCTGCAGTTTGGCCTCTTGCCAGGGAAATAAAGATCAGTTCTGTGTCCATATCCCAATTCCTGGAGAACCTTAAGGAAATAGTCCCCTTATTATTTCCCTAAGAATCTTAGAGAAATAAACCCTCTCATCCAGTTTACGAATACTCTAATAAATTACCTGTGAGATAGACTTTTTTCCTTCCGAAGCGATCTGAAAGCTGACCAAAAGAGATAACTCCAACAAATACACCACTGAAGAAAAAAGAGCTTGCTGCACTGACTTTGTAGGATCTGTTGGCAATTAAAAACCACTAGAGGAAGATAAAACAAAAGAGAGACATGTAGGATTGAGTTAGCTATTAAAAAACCAAATGTGCAACAAAAACGTGTGCACCAGAATTTCTATACTGCATGATCCACTATTAACCAGAATCCAGCAGAATTTGTCTATCTCAGATAACATCCAATGAGATTTTATCTTCAGAAACACTAGAAATCACTATTATTATGATGCACTCCCATAGTACTCTATACATACCTTATTACAGAATTGAACACAGTGTATAATAGCTAATTACTTATGCATCTATTGACTATGTCCCTCATCCCAAGGCTCTATGTTTCTTGAGAGGAGCCTTGTCCCATTTATTTCCATTCTCTGATGCCTAATACACTATATGACATATATGAAGCAATAAATACATGAACTTTTTGTCCAATAGGCTTGTGAGTTTAAAATCCCTTGAGTATTTTTCCTCAAAAAGATTAAACACAGAATTACCATATGATCTGGCATTTCCATTTCCAGGCATATTCCCACAAGAACTAAAAGCAGGGACATGAAGAGATATTTGTACACCCATGTTCATAGCAGCTGTATTTGCAATAGCTAAAGGTGGAAATAACCTGTGTCTATTGACGGATGAATGAATAAACAAAATGTGGTATACACGTACAGTGGAATATTCCTCAGCTTTAAGAAGGAATGAGAGAACAGGCAGAGATTTGTTAAAGGATACAAAATTACAGCTAGATAGAAGGAATAGGTTCTAGTGTCCATATCACTGTAGGATGACTATAGCTAACAACAATATATAGCTTCAAATAGCTAGAAGGAGGATATCAAATGTTCCCAATACAAACAAATGATAAATATTTGAGATGATAGAAATGCTAATTACCCTGATTTGATCACTATACATTGTATGTATTAAAACATCACCATGTAGCTCATAAATATAATTATTATATCAATAAAATTTAAAAAATAAAAAGGAACAAAATTCTGATTCATGCTACAACCTAAACTCTGAAGACATTATGCTGTATGAAATAAGGCAGACACAGAAACACAAATATAGTATGATTCTATTTACATGAGGTACCTGGAATAGTCAACTTCATACAGACAGAAAACAGAATGGTGGTTACCAGGGGCCAGAAGGAGCGAGGAACAGGGAATTATTGTGTAATGGAACAGAGTTTCAGTTTGGAATGTTGAAAACATCCTGCAGATGAATAGTGGTAATGGTTACACAACTATGTGAATGTATGTAAGGCATCTGAAACTATACACTTAAATGTGATTAAAATGGTAAATTTTATATCACGTATATTTATGACAAAAGAAACTCCTTTAGTGTCTTCTACTTTAGGGAAACCTAGGAACTTAAAGAGAAAGTGACCATTCTCTGCTTAAAACACCACTATCTCAAGTCTTGTCTAGTGATGTGTTAAAGATGATATTTGGTTATAAGAATAAAAGTGAACCCATGTCACAGAATAACCTCAGAGAACCGAGACCACTCATCCTTCCTCTTCCCAGTCCCCTTCGCTACAGTCAGTGATGATAGGTGTGTGAAGGGTCCCTCCTCCTCAAGAACTTGCAAGAAAGAATCCTCAGTTGCTCTCTCCACTTTTCACATCACTCCCTTCTGATGCTTCCACAACCAGTCCTCATGGCTCAAAGTACATCTAACTTCTCTCCTTCCTCCTAATCTTGTAAGACTAGATTGATAAAGGTCTTGACAAGACAACTTCTGGACATCTCTATTCAAAACCACCCACCAAAAAGACTCAGGAATTGGGAAAAACCGATGAGAATAATGTCCCCTCACTAATGTGTGCTTTACTTCTGAATTCCATTCTTCACGTGCAATTCTTAACAAGGTAGATTAGCTGGCTTTCCTAGCCCTTCTTGGATTTACTTTTTCTTTCTTTTTTTTCTTTTCTTTTCTTTTTTGGCAGGGTTTCACTCTGTTGCTCAGGCTGGAGTGCTGTGGTGCCATCACAGCTCATTGCAGCCTTGACCCCCCAGCCTCAAGCAATCTTCTTGCCTCAGCCTCCCAAGTAGCTGGGACTGGAGGGAGTCACTTTAAATAGGTGGTTCAGGGGAGGATTCTTGCGGGAGGTGACATTTGCGACCTGGATGATGACAAGTAACCAACTACAAAAAAACTCTTTGGGGAATATGATAATAATTGCAGTGGCCCCAGGTGAAAACACACCAGTGTATCTCTAGTAGAGGTGGCATGAAATTAGGCCAGCGAAGCAGGTGGGCATCAGGTCATGCAGGGTCAGGCCAAGGCAAGGAGCTGAGAGATTTTATTCTAGTGCAAAGAACGAATATTGAATTACCGGGTTTATGTTTCTAAAGATCACTCTGGCCACTTTATGAGAATGCAATATGATAGGAAAGAGTGGAAGCAGGGGAGTTACAGTAATCGTTTAGGAGATAATGATGGCTTGGATGAAGGTGGAAACTAGTGATGGAGAGAACTGAATGGACTTGGGATGTATTTTGAAGGCAGGACTGTCAGATGTTGTGATGATGTGTTGTAGTAGGAGTAGAAAGGAAAGGAAGAGTCACCTAAGTTGTTCATTTTAGCCACTCTCTGGGTGGTTGTGACATTTATCGAGATAGAGAAGGGTGTAAGAGGTGTTAGGTACATGGTAGGAATTCAAGAGTTCTGTGTGAACAAGCTCAGACAGAACATGCCTATAAAACATCTAAGTAGAGATGTCAAGCAGGCATCTGGCTGGGAGTGGAGCTCATGGGAGAGGTTATGAAGGTTTATGAAATTACAGATACAGGCTGGGTGCAGAGGCTATGCCTGTATCCCAGCACTTTGGGAAGCTGAGGCCGGTGGATTGCTTGAGCCCAGGGGTTCAAGAGCAGCCCGGGCAACATGGTGAAACCAGGTCTATACAAAACACACAAAAATTAGCTGGGTGTGGTGGTGCACACCTGTAGTCCCAGCTACTCTGGAGGCTGAGGTGGGAGAACTGATTGAGCCTGGGAGGTTGAGGCTACAGTGAACCATTATCGTGGCACTGCACTCCAGCCTGGACAACAGAGTGAGACCCTGTCAAAAGAGATGAGAGAAGAGGGGAGGGGAGGGGAGGGGAGGGGAGGGGAGGGGAGGGGAGGGGAGGGATGGAAGAGAAGAGGAGAGAAGAAAAGGAAAGAAGCAAAGAGAGAAGAAAAGAGAGAAAGAAGGAGAGAGAGAGAGAAAGAAAAGAAGAAAAAGAAGAAAAAGAAAAGAGAAAGAAAGTTTCATATAAAAGACTACAAGAGCTGCAGTATTTGAAGAAAAAATTTTGTTTTGTTAAAAAAAAAAGAATTTATTTTGTAACATGGATAGTTCTGTGGTAGAATTTTCGACTCATGAGGAATGCCTACAGTAACATTTCACCAGGTCTAAAAACAGATCAGTATGATATATCAGGTTGTCCTAGAAAAGACAGGACTGTATCTGTCACAGGGAGATTCCTTCTTTTACAATGGCCAATATACACAGCTTAATTGTACTTGTTCTTAATACTTTGAAATTCAAACACTAGCTTTTTTTTTTTTATGTTCTTAGTGTTTGTTTTGGTGTTTTCATGCTTTTAAAATCTGGCCTGCAACTTTAGTCTTCATTAACCTGCACCTCAAGTTTTGCTAGTCTGTTTACATGGCCAAGATACTGATCTTGGCCTATTTTATTGATTAAACACAAAACTGATCTGTTTTGTGTTTAATCACTAAAAAATGGCCAATTTGAAAACTCCATAATCAACTATTCTGTTGCCTCATTTGCTGAACTTCTCAAATCCATGGAAAAGGGTACAATACTATCCTTATAAGTGGATAGCTGTCAACTTTTGTGGAAGTTTAGGAGGAAGTAGCCCAAGGGATGTTTGAGCAGCAAATTCCAAATTCTGAATCTCAGGCTGCCATTTCCAAGTGTCAAAGTAACTGCTAGTAATTTTTCTTCATGTCAATGCTAGTTGGGCTCATGCATCTCTCTATTACTCTTGAAATACATGCAGGAACTGACAGAAAAATAGAAAGACAGATTTTTCAAAAGCAAATTAGAGAATATGAAGCTGGAACCCAGATCTCCCTGACAGATCCTGGTGAACTGGGGATGGCTGACACAGGGATGCCAACTCACAGATTCAGAACAATGGGTTGACAACCAGCCCTCCACATCCTTCATCTCCCAACATGTGAGATCTTGGTTTAAATGTTTTGTTTTGCCCAATTTTAAAAACTTTTCAAGTATTGTTGATATATTGATCACATGCCTACTGTGTGATCTAAGGAGTTTTATTTTGTCAAAGCCCAGACAAGATAAACTAGGATATGGATCCCTACAGTATTTAGAAAATGTATTGGCGTAATCTATACTTAAAGTTTTCAAAGGAGCTCACTCACCAGACTAGACTCAATTGCTAGCTCATTTTCTTCCCCCTTTGGTCAATACTTAGTACTACGGTAAAACCCAAACCAGGATATTACCAGGCCATTTTAAGCTAAACTGTAATAAACCTAAATATGATAAGTGTGAATATCAAGAAATGTGTTTTTATGAGTCTTTAGATTTTAAAAATCACTGATTTATAAGTCATTCAAACCCTGTTGACTAGAGATTATTAAGGTGATGAATTTCCTATTATTTTTTGTTAATAACAAGCTACATTCTAAAGCCAAAGAAAGAATGTTTTTTTTTATGTTAAGGTACTTCAAATTGAAAAATCATTTGCAAATTGAAAAAAGCAGGAAATCTACTTTTCTTTTCCCATACATTAACAGAAAAGGAAGACTATAAAGACAAAATATTTTCAGTCTCTCAAGTTGACTTACATCTACTTCTGTTTTATAACCAGCATCTGTATTTTTGTTCTTATGCACTAAATTGAGTTGAGCATTCAATATACTCTATTTTCAAAAAGGATTTGAGGGGCACAGCACTACAGGCACTCGTATAATCATTCACTCATCTAAAGAAAGAGGACCTGAGAGAAAATCAGGCACAACTGAGGG